AATATCAGAATTTCACTGCTCCTTGTGGCAATTGTCAGGTATTTACATGTTTTTGAATTGTTATTTTAAATAATTTGAGTTATTAGTGTTGTGCTGTAATCACCAAGTAAAATGAGGTGTTTAGTGAGTAATCCATGCGAAAGCTCTTCCTTATTCACATACATTATGATACCTTTAGTAATATCATTTGTATGTTGCTGCGATCTTTATACAGCCCTGTGACATTGATGGAAACGTTATAAGAAATTTCTAATAGAAACCGTGACGGTAGTATCGTTGAAATTGATAGGGGTGTAATAAAATGACGAACAACTTTTCGTACTTTATTTACATTTTAGATATTTCGGTAAGTTTCACTTTTTTTTACATTTTTGGTGGGCTTATACTTTGGTTTATACAATCATTACCATTAGTTGACTATCATTAGATTTGATGATAGTAGCATCTCAATAAAATTAGGTCGCTGTCACTATCACCAGTTCAACTCGGTACCGAGCCCAAACCAAGATAAATTGGCAAAGGCTGGTGGCAAGATGGGCATCCGGCTGTCAAAAACGAAATTTTTCACTCAACGGTCAAAACCAAAGATGGGGAGTGGAAGAATTGGTGTAACGGCTAGGACGTACCCCGTAAGCGTAAACGGCCTCGCTCTACCCTTGCGATACGGCAAGGACTACTCCATGAGGAGCGAGTAGGGTTAAAGAAGATAGTGGCATAGGATATTTCAATGTCGGGGGTATGACTGGAATAGGCTGGAATCTTGCAGACTTGATTCAAAGAGTAATTACACAGGATAAAGAGTGAGACGAACATGGAAGTGTACAAAAGACGAAAGAAAGAGGCGAATTAAGCTGCTGCAATAGCAAATTCAAGGGCATCGGATGAGCTCTACGGAACTGAATACACCTGAAGGAGTTAAAAGATTGTACAGTTGTTAGAGCCAGAGATAGAGCCTCAAAGGATTTTACACACGTGAGGCAAGTTAAAAATGGTGAGGGGGTAGTGCTCAGAAGTAAGGAATACCTACATAAGGAAGAGGTGGGGTGACAAATTCAGTAAATTGTTGAATGTAAAATTGTCAAAGAATTGATAGAGTAGAAGGAAATGCTATCGAGAATGTTACATCTCGAATAGAACGTGAGGAAATCGCTGAGGCGTTGCTGAGAATACAAAGAGATAGAGCCTTACGGCCTGATGGAAGGTTTTGGATGGGGAAGGTGTAGATCTTTTATTGGATTTGTTTAGTGAAATATACAATAAGAAAATGCCCGATGCTTGAAGAGAGAGTGTGTTGATGCCACTGTACAAAGAGAATTGCGACATCCAGGATTGTAAGAATTATAGAGGAATAAAACTGGTAGCGCACCATTTAAGGTTTGGGAACGAGTAATGGAGAGGAGACAAAGGAGAAAGCGTACGACACGGTGTCTAGGGATGAAATATAGAGATGTATGAGGGTTAAGGGAATGCCAAAAAAGTATATGCCGCTCGTGAAGGACATATATGATCAAGTACATATCAGGGTACGATTGGTGGAATGACAGCTAGGTTTCCTGTAGGAGTTGGAGTACAGAGGATCTGCATTGAGCCCATATTTACCTGCTTTATCGAGGGTGGAGGATTCGGAATTAGTAAAACGAAAACGGAATACATGCGATTTGAAGGAGACGGTGGTCTTGGTACTTACTAAAACAGAGATTGGAACTGGAGAGTAGGATTCGGAAAGATACAAAAAGGGAGATGGGTGAAGTGACAAAGTCTTAAGTCTTAAGAAAGGTTCCGAAGCGAAACTTCATTGGTTTGGACATGTAATGGGAAGAAAAGAGGGATATGTTGAAAGAATGGAGAGCAGAATCGAGAGAGAAGGGGTTGGATGAAGATGATGTATGGGACAGGAGCGAGTGGAGGAGGAGAGTCAGGTACAGGCGTCTCCTCACAAAAAAGAATATTCTTGTATAAGTCGTAATCAGAAGCACTTGTCCAAAGTATAGTCCCAAGTATCCGAGTTCCAAATACTTTTAAAAGGAGCTCAAGCTTTCTTTCAGAGTAATCGCAAGCTTTCGGACATCGCTCTTTTTGAAATCGCGAGATTGTTGTATATTTATAGCCTCATGCCTTTGCTGTCCTTAATATGTATTCGAATGTTTTGTTTTGCAATGCATTTTTCATGATTCATGATTAAAGTTTATTTTCACGTTTGTTTACATCAACATTGAACTAATTATTGAACGAAATTCTCATTTTTCAAAGTTTGCAGGTCCCTGGTCTATTAAAATACCTGAAAATAGAATTTTGGAAGTACCATTCGTGGTAGATTTCCGGTGTCACAAAGATTTAGTGGTCCGTTATTACAATTTCAGTGTCCGCTTGGTTTACTCACAACCTATGACGTAGTAAGGTTAAAATACCGAGTGCATACCCCCTCACGCGATTAGTACTCGTTATGGAGAAAGAAGTGAGTCACAGCCAATAGGTTTAAGCGGCCCGCTTTCTGTGACGTCACAGCCAATGAGCGGTGTGGTCGGCCATTTTGTAAGGCGCCATGTTGGACGCCATCTTGGATTCGACCACCATTTTATTAGTAACTATTTTAAATCCGCCATTTTGTTGGACGCCATTTTGGACCAGCTTTCTGTTTGTCTGCCTGTCTCGGTCTATCCGCCATTTTGAATGTTACTTTTCCGACGATAATTAAATTATTTGTACCTTTAACTTATTGGTCCTTCCAGACCAATCATTGCCGTCCATTCGTAAGCGTCCACCATTCTTTCGCTAATGCCTTAACCTCTTCTATAAACCGTGGCTTCTCATTATAAGGCCATTTTCATAAGCTTCGCTTAGACTTTCAGCTATGCTCTTGTCTTTTCTAAGTTTTATCTATTAGTAAGTATCGTCCTTTGTTATGGGTCTTGAGGTGAGGTTTTCTGCTACTCGAGCTGGATCTATTTAAAAAACCAATACTTAACGTTACTTGCTTGTTTAGATCATTATCGATGTTTGTATATGAATTACACTGGAGACTACGTGAAGTTATGGCGATAAATGTAAGGAGGTTATGTTAACAATCTTTAAGTTTGTAAAAATTATAGAGGAATTAAAAGTGACTCTTTAAAAAACATAGGAGCGATTAGGTAGTTGGTGAATTAGACAATTGATTTTTAATTAATTGATAACTGAAAAATATGGGGAAGCAGTATTGCATTTCCCCAAACACTGCTGTACCGTACAAGGGGGCTTCGATAACAAAGAATTTGATTGTAAGTGGACTGTAATTATGAATTACTTCCAAGGCCTTGTTTATGCTGGGAATGAAAGAATATAGACACATAAATAAACGTGTTTATTATCAAAAATACAAAGGGAATGAATTTCTATTGAACATGGTTGACGTAGGCACGACGGCTACTAGAATATGGTAAAGTTACGAAGGAAGGAAGGAACTTACGTGTTGTTTCGAAGTCCATTAACAACGAAGGCGATGTTGCAATGGCGAAGATTGCTCTTTTCTACGAAGTTGTCGAATTTGTCGATTTTGTTACAACGAAATCTTCTAATTGATGTGCGGTGCTTTGACGTTCTGCTTGTTAATAACGATGTTGCGAACTGCACGGCGACATCTTGACCCGTTGGGGATCGATCGAGATCTATATGCGAACGACGAAGGCTAATCGGCCATTGGTTAACGGCGACTTCTCAACAAAGTTGAGTCGATTGCTTCTAAGCGAAGAATCGGACGAATTCTGCGCGACGAGTACACATATTGCGCTTCTGCGGTTCATGCGCGCACACGTAACAAATAGGAATATATACAGGCAAGGCAAAACGGTTATGTACAGGGTATTTTCATTAAAGGAAAAACGAAAGGACATTTTATTCTAGTTTGGGGACGCAACAACTGCATTTTTGAGATATTCACACTTAAGTTTTCACGTTGTCAGTAGATATGTCTCGTCTAGGCGTCCCAAGAGCCTCTTTGAGAGTATGCTCCTCCGACACCCTGATATGCAGATATTTGCATTGAAAGTTTTCACGCCACCAACAGATATTTCTGCTCCAGACGTTCCAATTGCCCTTTATAAGTAGGTACCCTCTTCCGACACTTCATTTGCGAGGTATTCGTTTCGACCTCATCAATAGGTATGTCTCGTCCAAACGTTTTATTTCGCCTTTGTTAGTACTCTCCTCAGACACAACGTTCTTTAGATATTCGCATTTAAAGTTTTGACATCACCATTGGATAGTCTAGTTTACAGATTGTATTGATCTTCTACGACCTCTCTGAAAATTTGGTCATAACGTATAATTTCGAGGCCTAGACCCATTACGTACACTCGTGCGTGGGTAATGAAAAAATTAGGCCTTTTACCGCTGATTATCTACAAATATAACATTAGAGGCGAGCATGGGCGCGAACATTGATTGGTTTCCACGTGTTTAAAGGATCTACCTTTCAACATAATACTGAAGGGACGTAACTGTTGTACACAGTTGTTCCATGTTTAACACTTCTGGTAGCAGGATTATGAATGTATGTAACATCGACATGGGTCTAGCGCCCTCGTAATAAAGTTCATGAATTTTATCAATATAAGTGTATAAATGACGCATCACTCAATTTGGACTGTGTATCACTTTTTTCTGTTAGGTAACTGTTTGACAAAGTTAAATTAGACTTTTAAAGTTTGTGTGTTTTTAAGGACAGGCGGAGAACCAGGAGACTTCAGGAGGAGAAAGTTTTTTTTTTAGAGCAGCCCGGTTTGAGAATTTATTGCTAAACATACGGCCAATTGAAAAACGACTTTAATGTTGTGGTACTTTATAACCTGTTGCAACGAAAGGAATGTATTTATGCACCTGATATATTTGTAGGGACCTGTCCTTTCAAATATCGAATTTTAATAACCGTTTTCATCTGAGAGTATATGAAAAATGTTTTTCTAAAGTACATGTGCCTCTTTAAACTGCTAAATCCGTTTTCCAATACTTATAACTTGTTTCAGAATATGGTTATGACGATGAATACACTCTACCTTCAATTGCCCCACCTCCCATACACGAAGACCCCGGAGCTTTCAGCAGCGGATCAAGATCTCTAATCCATCGACTGCTTACGCTGCTTGTTGTGCTGGGGTTGGTGACACTAAATCGCAGGTGACTTCGCTTTTCATAATATAAGAGTTTTCGCATCGAATGTTTGACGTTTAGTGGTGGAAGTGACATATCTTGTGCGACTGAATTTTGTACTGTAAATATGTAAAAAAGACTAACGTTTGTAAAACGTATATATAATGTATATAACATATTCGCGATGCTATTTAGGTCTATATAAGATGCCTGATAATAGAGCGTGATACTACCATGTATTAGATAAGTAAATTTCTCAATAAAGCTGCTACAATTCGCGAGTGTAAACGCTTTTGGCGTTTATTCCGACGATTCCTTTGAAATTTAACACATATCGAATTCAAAAAGTAATATTGTCACATGTACCTTCTTAAAACGAAATCCTGCCAATATTGCCCGATTTTCGTAATATCTTCTTGTTTTTATAGGGTTCAGGGTAGGTATGAATGGAAAGAAGTTTACTCTTTTTCTATTTATTTTATTATATTTGCCCTATGCGTTTCCTCATCCTCGGAAAGTTTCAACCGAAATCGATTCAGCATATGAGAATTTACTGCCATTGTGTGCTAATACAATAAATAAATCATTAATTTACTATTGTTTTTGACATATTTCTAAAACTAATAGGAATACAATTTAAATAACATTATAAATATTAGAAAATCCCTCCTGCGTGCTGTTATCATCTTAGCTTGAGCGGTCTATAAGAGAGCAGGTAAGTCACAAAGAGCGACTGCACTATTTCCAATGAGAAGATGTTTAATTAAGGTACGTATGGAAGCATTTTAGAAATAAGACCGTTCTGACTACTTTGTCAGTGCTAAAGTAATTAATTACAAAGACTAGCATGTGAATGTGATGTTGCGTAATCGGTCGCACTTCTTAAAAGTCACAAAGCTGCATTTGAGTGCCCAATAAAACAGTAGGACGCCTATAACAGCTCTAAAATTAAATTATTCAGATCCATTCTGCGTACAACGTAAGGAAACTGTCAAGAAATATAACTCAATGTATTCATTTTTTACAAACATAAAGCAGTTTTTTTATAACGGTTTAACGACTAACATTTTAGGAACAATAAGATATAAATCCATCGTAATTCTGTAGAACGTATACAGATCAGCGCACGTTTTCGAATTGCCCATTTGATTTTCATTCATTACTTGTTGGTGTAGGTATTTGAAATAATATAGTACTATCACATCGGTTCTGAGTAATAATCGTAATCATGAGAGGTATACTAGCGGTATACCAAAAGATACTGCATTTTCTTATACCAAGGTGCCACTTGGTACAGCTGTTCCTTAGAGCCATTTAGACGATTTGGCCCGAAGAACACTTGACATTTTCCGTGCGGGTAGATTTTAGAGGGGATGGGGGTGATTTATTGTAACATTTTTTTAAAAACTAAATATGGCCTACAGACGAGATCTGGGTGTCGATTTCGTATGATTTTAACCCGAGGAATCCAATGGTACCACCAGAAATGTAATCCGGATACCGGAAGTCCGTGAAAAGCCGCCATTTTTAGAAAATGGCAGACTTTTGATCGAATTATATTTCTAAGGCACACCGGATCGTGTAAGGTGTCTAGACTTATGTTTTTGGGGTCAGGGAATTCATTTATGATAATAAAAATAACCTACTGGCATCGGAACTGCATGACAGGCTTCCCTACTGCACTTTTTGAGGCGTCGCACGCGGTGAAACCCAAGATATTCGAAAGTTTTAATACCTATATAAATTTGTAATATTTTATTTAATAAAAATACACGTTAACAAAACATAAAATATATTAAAACATGGGGTAAAAAATGTATAAGCCTATGAAGGATCACTAAGTACATCGCTGACCTCATCTGAGATTGCGTTATCACCACTGAAAATGTATTTCACATACCGGGTGAATATTTTAAAACCGAACGTAGGAAATTAACATGCGGAAAACGTTTTTTGCCGATCGTTGCTCCCCATGTTAACTTAGAGGGTTTGTAATGACACCAATTAAAAGAAGATTTTTTTCTCATCTAATGATATACGAATTAGCTTATTTTCAGGTGTATTTCTCATTATTTTATCAAAAATTCGGCAATAAATCCAATTAATAGCAAAATCATGTTAAGCGATGGAAATTTCCTAACGAATTGAAATAGGTTTTCCAGGAGGTTTTCACATACACGGAAAACAAATACCGCGTACTAGAGTAAATATTTCCCCTGTAAACGTTGTTTATTATAAATACTTTTTTTTCAGTGAACCGCATTTTACAAAAAAAAATTAATGCCAGGTGTCATAAACTGATATTGATTTCGACGTTTGAATCTGCTTTTTGTCTTAGTCATGGCTAAAGATATGATTTTGGTAAGACGATTTCTCGAGTTTTTGATAATACAGTGAGAAATACACCTGAAAATGAACTAATTCGTATATCATTAGACGAGGAAAATCTTCTTTCGATTGGTGTCATGATCATCCCTCTAAGTTAACATGGGGAGCAACTATCTACAAAAACCCCTTTTCCCATGTTAATTTCCTATGTTCGTTTTGGGAATATTCACCCGGTATAAAAGGGTCCCGCAGCCACACCTGTCCAGAGCACGGACTGCCTTTCATACTTGTGGCAGCTTGGACTGCAGAACCTTCCAGCCTTTGGCTTCAAGAGTCCATCCCCATCCTTCTGGACTTGTGGAGCTTCTCATCACCTGGTTTGCACATTCCCAGATATGGCCAGCGACATACGCCGCCCTCCTTATGTGCTCCTCCACCTCTTGCTGCGGCGACACGGATTACCATGTTCCCCTGCATGCCAAAAATGTATGGGAGATTGCTCAAACAAAGGGTAAGATTGTATACTTTCGATATAATTTACTGCCGAACCTTTAATATTTACCTATATGTAAAATTCCTTTTCAATGGTGATAACGCAATCTCAGAGGGGGTCAGCGATGTACTTGGTGATTCTTCATCGGCTTATACATTTTTTACCCCATGTTTTAATATATCTTATGTTTTGTTAATGTGTATTTTTATTCAATAAAATAATATAAGTTTATATATTAAAACTTTGGAATATCTTGGGTTTCACCGCGTGCGACGTCTTCAAAAAGTGCAGCGGGGAAGCCTCTCATGCAGTTCCGATGACACTAGGTTATATTTGTTATCATAAATGAATTCCCTGACCCCAAAAACATAAGTCTAGACACCTTACACGACCCGGTGTGCCTTAGAAATATAATTCGATCAAAAGTCTGTCATTTTCTAAAAATGGCGGCTTTTTACGGACTTCCGCGTATCCGGATTACATTTCTGGCGCTACCATTGGATTCCTCGGGTTAAAATCATACGAAATCAACCCCCAGATCTCGTCTCTAGGCCATATTTAGTTTTTAAAAAAATGTTACAATAAATCACCCCCAACCCCTCTAAAATCTACCCACACGGAAAATGTCAAGTGTTATTCGGGTCAAATCGTTTAAATTGCTCTAAGGAACAACTGCACCAAGTGGCACCTTGGTATAAAAAAATGCAGTATCTTTCAAGAATTTCCGTTATACCGCTAGTACTAGTGTAATTCCGTAAGAAATCCTGTGTAAGATACTTTTCTCACCTACAGTGATTATATGCGTTGACCAATACAGAAAATATAATGATCAAATGTATCGAAGGTACATTTCAAATGCACACAATAGAAACGTATGTCTCCTATCATCCTAAAAATGAATATAATGTGAATGAAATCTAAAAAAAATTATGTTTTGATATACAGAAAAATCCCGTATTCCTTCATTAAAATCGAAAGCTACTGCTAAGTGCAATAAAAAGATTTGTAGCGTATTAATTAAATCAGGAGAGACGCTTGATTAAATACGTACAGATTATAACTAATCGATATTTTCATAAAATAGACTTAGTTCAAACGATCTCATTGTGAAATCATATTGTGCATGTGCTTACTGAGGATTTTCTTCTATAATACTAAATACTAACAAAGTCCATAAATGAAATTGACCTTATGGTCCAGTCAGTAAATATATTGTAGAATGCATGGAATATGTGACACTTTTTTTCTTCGTCCCCGCCCTTGGGGGTGAGCTAAAGATGGAAGGGGGGGTCAAATGTGAAATGTGTGGGTTTTTAAATTATACCTCGGAAACGATGGACTCTAGAAAAAATTATTTCTATAGATATTTGTCGAATTGTCAACGGTTTTCGAGGGATACGTTATTGAATGTCCATAATTTTCGAAAAGATCATTTTTACCCAACTCTTTTGCCAATATTTGTTTGCCTTGCCTTCCACGATCATTTCTCAGAAAAAAATTTAAGAGCAATAAAATTCCTTGGGTGTGGTACGTAGGTATAACTTGTGTGTCGGTGCCCATCAACCTCTCCCATTATAATGGGTCTTCAGAAATGTAACGTAACCATCACAAATGGTTTGTCTCTTTCTGCCAAACAACTTTGTGGATTAGGAAACCTCCATCAACAACAAATTCAAATGTCAACGACCCTATCAAAATCCTTAAACAGTTTGTATAGTAGGTACTGACTTCTGCGCTTCCTCATTCCACTTTAGTTAAATAATTCCACGGATCATTCCACCTCGGCTTTTGAATGGCCGCATTATGGTTGTCTCGATGGCTATGTCTGACCACATGCCGGACCAGAACTGATCAATCTCTCTCATAGTAAAGTATCCTTTGTTCACGTACTTCTGGTACTTCTCGTGTCAACGCAATAGAGGGGATACAATGTATATATAAGTGGCGAGACTAATTGGCATGGGCGAAGTGTCCAGCGGCATAAAAAAAGTTATCATTCGCTCACAGAAATTCAAGTGAGCAAGAAAGTTACCAGATCTTTCTGCATGTTCTGCAAGTTACATCAACTTAAAGGAAATTTACTGCTCCACAACTTGGTTTCTGAAACTTTTTCTGAGAAACGATCGTGGAAGTCAAGGTAATAAACAAATATCGACAAAAAGAGTTAGTTAAAATAATCATTTCGAAAATCATCGACATTCAATATCGTATACCTCAAAAACCGTTGACAATTCGGCAAATATGTATAGAAATAATTTTATAGGAAATTTAATTAGCTGCCATTTTTATGTAAAACAATTTTTCCTAAAATCTACCGTTTCCGAGGTATAATTAAAAAACCCCAAAATTGCACCTTTGACCCCCCCTCCCATCTTTAGCTCACCCCCCAGAGACGGGGACTTTTAGTATATTTACCTACTTACTACTCCTAAAAAAGTCCTGACCCAAAAAAAATCGAATA